TATTGGTTTCACCTTTTGAGTTGCCGTACTGACATAAATGAACATTTGCACAATATTCTAATTTTTCGAGTTTCACCTGTATGCAGCAACTTATAGAAGAAGTCAGTTTCTGGATATACTTATGTGATTATTATTTTATATCTCTTTCAACACAATATTCAGGGTGGCATAGATGGAGTTTTCTGGAAACTCTCCTATCCAGAACTGGGCTCCTTGGTTTCAGGAAAGTTCGGCTGATACTCCACCTTGGTATACCAATGTAAAACTGCAGTAGAAGTTCATTTTAAATGGAACATTTAAATGTAGAGAAAGAATGGTTTGTGAACCACAGAGGTCATACAGTAGGCTGACTATAGAAGACTTTCTACTCTAGAGTAGAGAATTCAATATATATATATTCTTATCAAAGAACAGCTTCCCAATATACCTTATACATCCTAGGTGAACATATGTAATTTCATGTTATTTTGGATTGAATACATAAATAACATTTGTTGCTGTTGAAATTAAGCTATTTTCAATATTTTGTAATTCTTTAAAAAGTATTGTAAAATAGCAATTTCTGACTGAATGTCTCTTGTTTAAATTTTGAAAAAAGTTTTGTATGCAACTTTCTTGAATTGCTACATATACTCCTTTACAGTTCATATGTGTAAGTACAGTGGTGCTTAAAAGTTTGTGAACCCTTTTGAATTTTCAATATTTCTGCAGAAATATGACCTAAGCTTTGGATCATTTTCCTCAATAAATCAATGAATAAGTATAATGTTTTTGACTCATTTGTTTAATTGGGTTCTCTTTATCTAGTTTTAGGATTTATGTGGAAACAGATCACGTTTTAGGTCATACTTATGCAGAATTATTAAAAATTCAAAAGGTTTCACAAACTTTTAAGCACCACTGTATATAAAGAGTAGGGGTAATGTTCTTCAGTGGACAGTTGTATTCTCAGGATAGAAAACTAGCTTTTTTTGGTTTTAAGTCAGAATGATATTTTATGAAGTGATAAACCATTTTGAATGAATAGTGCTTTATAGATTTCCACCATATATATGCAGTCTGTTCCATTTAGTAAAAAACAATTCATTTCAGCACTTAACTTTATGTACTTAAGTATCACATATCAATTTTCATTAGGCCTATACAGGAACCATAATCCTGAAATACACTTTGAAATCCTATTTTGTATTTCCTCTCATGAACAACATTAAGGCTACCTAAAACCCATGGTAGGCCTGTTCTGAATTATAATCATATTATATATTTACTGCTTCATATGAATATTCCCTCTTTTCCTATTCTAGTAGACAGAGAACTGGTAACACCGAAATGGGGAAAAAGACACTTAGAGGAGCACTTTAAAATTCTCTAGTAACTGTTACTCAGTAAGACAATTGCCATTTCATATCTTTTCTACAATGCAATTTCATGCTTGTATAGGTTAGATAGTATAATCCATGCCCCAGGTTGGGACTGCTGGAATTTGACAGGTGATTTACTTTCAGTTAATTTTTTCCCCAGAAGGTATCATAAGCATTGTGTTGTATTTATCTTCTTAACAAAAATTATTTGACTAGTGATACTGTTTTTTTTTTCTTTCAGGTAACTTCAAATGAGGCATTTTAATGGATTTCAGGAAACTGTAACATCTCAAAAAAAATTGGTGCTCTCTTAACCAGTTTAATGGCATTATTTTGACTCAATTCACAGTCAAAGTAACCCTTTAGGAAAGGACTTTAATCAGGAATACACAAAATAGAGCTGCTACCACTTCTCTGCTTTAAAAGTAAGGTGGAAAGAAGACTTGGTTAACTTCTGTAACTGCCATCACCTGTTTGTCCACTTTGAAATAAAACATGGAATAAAGAAGTTAAAGTTTTTTGGAAAAAAAAAAGGAAATGGTACACTTCAAGAACTTCATTGTATACACTTACATAAAGTTGTGATTTCTTCTTAGAAATTGCTTATAATAATATTTTCCAAAACAATCTTTCTTATTGACTAATTAGAACCTCAATAACCATTGAAGATTTCAATACTGTATTTTGTAACAAGCAGACAACAGTTATTTATTCCTTCTTTTCATATGCATTGGCTATCATATTAAGGATTCTAAGGTACTAAGTGAAACTGGTAGATTTTTTCAGAAAGTGTGTTTAAAAACTTAAATATATAGGCTTCTATGTATAGCAAGAACGCTACATATTAGAAATACTATAATATAAATCTAATGGCCAATAGTAGGAATATGAAGATTAAATATGAGCTTAAAAAGTTCATGTAGCTGTACTTATTTTGGTAAGTAATCATAATATTTATGGGCTGTAGCTGAAAACCACAAATGTTTTGCAATCTTTCATTTTATTTATAAGTCTGGACCAAAATTTGCTTCTCAGTGAGATACCACTATAAGCAGCGGCAATCATGATTTCTGGACATATTATATTTTAGATATCCAAAGAAGAAAATAACTTTTATAGGTCCAAAAATTTAAAACTAATGTATGTCAGAACGATACCGTATAAAATTATCCATATTTTCATTAAGAATAAAAACAACATTAAACATTGCTCACTCATAGACTGATCCCCTCCCTTCTCTCAAACTGAGGAAATATCTGGTAAAGTTTTGTCAGAGCTCAGAGAAATCTCAGTGTTCTTCAAAATAGGTCCTAAGTGCACACTATCCTTTTCATAGTTAAGTCATTCAACATCCCTTTCATGTTAGGCCTCTCTAGGGTAGGACTCAGGATTTGCTTTGCCTACCACTGGAATGAGTTGGAGATAAAAATGTTGTGAATCTAGGCTGCTTCTACTTGAAGATCCTTCAAGACTATTGCAGTATAACCAGAAAATGCCTGTGAAGAGAGATGAACGACATAGCTTATTCTCTGCATAAAGCATTATATGAGTGTAATTAAAAGGCAATAGAAACTTGGTCTCCTCTCTTTTGTTATAAACTCACCTGGTTCAAAGTGCAGTGTATAAACATATTGAAAGATAGCAATATTTTAATGTGTGCACACTAGCAGCAGAAAGTGTGTGCATAGTGGAATGGTTTCTGTCATTTCCTACATTTTTACAGAATCTGAATTTCATCACATACGGAAATATTAAGAAGTGAACATTCAAATAATGTTAAATTAGTGCTTTTTCATTAAGTGGAAAATGATATTTCCATTGGTTTGAAATGTAGAATACTTGTAGCAATTGTTCAACATTTTAACTGAAATCTAGTCTTGAATAATCAGTATTTCAGCTTGATAAATCTAAGACTTTTTTTTTTTTTGCATTAGGATTTATTGGTATATGTCAACAGGAATGAATGTAAACTCCCAAATGTCAATTCCATAACTGTGCTTCAATCACAGACTTCATATATTTTAGAGCCATATTTGGCAAGTTTACATTTTCCCTGCTTCTCATAATGTAAATGACTTTCCTCCTCTGCCATCAGTTTAGAGTTCAGAAGAAAGAATATTTTTTCTGGACATTTCTTTGGCAAGCTGGATATATAGCCACATTCATGGATGAAATCTTACATCGGAAGTACACCATTATACTGTGGCTGAGAGATGTTTATAAGTTCTGTTCTCTAAACCTTAATCTGAAAATGGCTTGTTTGATTATGCTCCCTGCCTGTGTTTCCTGCTTTGTATAGCATGCTGGGATCGACAGCTTCAGATATGATTCCTGGAAGTATACAGGACATTAAATTAAATTTATAAGATTATAATTACAGTTGGAATTTTGTATAGTGTGCTTCCACTTTTTCTACAAAACAAAATTAAATTAGATGTGGAAATTGCTCGCTTTTTTGCGAATAGAATATTTTTTTTCCTGTATAATTTGAATTGTTAAATGGATACACTGAAAATGTGCAATAGCAAACTTGTTGATAGGCCACTAGTAGAAATATATGTGACTTAAAATGTCCTTGATCTTGTTCTCAATTATGCTTGCAATGGAACCCATAAATAAAATGCAAATAAAATTCTCACTCGTGGAAATGTTTTACTGAACCCTGTTGTGATAAATAATGCAATATCAACTTTAAGAATCACAAACTTGAATGTATTATTTTTTTTTTTGCCTTAAAATAAAGAGTTTACATTTTAAAGTTAAACTGAATATTTTCTTACCCAACCTTTCAACAGCTAGGAAGGCAATATAGGATCATACATCCTGTATTATCTATAGCAAGGAATCTGAGCTGATTCACTTGCTAGAATGCTGCTTATTGTTGATCATGTTTGCTTGAATTACTGCCTTCTGTCTAAGCAGTTATCAGCTCTCCAGTCAGTTCAAGATAGTGCTACTAGTACTAGCCAACGATACATAATTCGTTGAAACTGAGTCCCACTGGAATTAAAAGTAGATATACCTAAGATTATAAGATCAGATCTATTTAATGGAGATTAACAACTAACAACAATAACAATAAATCTCAACAAAAATACAAAACAAATAGACAATTGGCAGCCAAGATAAAAAAATAAAACACAACCATCAGTATAAACACACTTCAATATAGTTCAATTAAACTAATTCACAAGCTCCAACAGATGCTACACTCAAAGCCAAGGAACACAGCCATGTCTTCTGGGCCAACAGGTTTGGGGCCAATCTGATTCCCTGGGGAATGATGTTCCATAGGGCCATCACCAGAAAAGTCTTCCTGAGTCTTGCCAGGTGGCATGCTTTAATAGACAGGACCCATTGTTCATGAGCATGAATTATATGGTGTTATTTGACCACATTTTAGTGATACATTTAATGAAAAGAAACATTGTTCAGGACTGAAAACTTAAAAAATAACGCTGCTGTTGAAGGTTCTTTCTGCAAGACTACTTATTTATTCAATTCACACTCAGCAAAATATATTTCCCAGATTTTCCTTAAAAAAAAGTTTTCAGAAGCAGATAGCATCTATAGTGTTATAGTAAATGGCCTAGGCATTGTGATACCACTGATTACATTACACATGTTTAAATAAATTACTGTTGGAAAATGAAACACGAGCAATCCTTCACATTTCTAAATTAAGCAAAGCAGGATATCAACTATGAAATATTTTAAAAAATGCAGAGATTGATTTTTAATTGTTTTTATTTATTTACTGTGATTAGGAAATTGAAATGGCAGTATTTGAACTGTATTTATGGAATGTAAGCACTCAAATTACACACACACACACACACACACACACACACACA